GTTAAGGAATGGTCTTTCCTGCCGTACTTTGGTGGTTAAGGAATGGTCTTTACTGCTATGGTTTGGTGGTTAAGAAATGGTCTTTCCTACCATAGTTTGGTGGTTAAGGAATGGTCTTTCCTGCCATAGTTTGGTGGTTAAGGAATGGTCTTTACTGCTATGGTTTGGTGCTTAGGAATCATTTTGAATGCTACAGTTTTTATATTATGTTTTTGTTAATAAATGGTATTTACTGCTATGGTTTAAAGGAGAGAAATCATTTTGCTGTAAGAGACATTTATTAGCTCTCTTGCCCTGTCTCTCTGTCAAGCATCAACTTTTCCCTTCTAACAACTTTTTCTCAACAACCTAAAAGCCCAGGGTACTTATATTTAGCCAATAAAACTAGTTTGAATTTAGGACTGCCAAGTTTGTTCATATGATTGACCTTGAAATACTTGAGGTCAAAGGGGTAAAATAAGTTTAAATTTCTTCTTTTCAACAAGGTCTTGGGTCAAGTTGTTGTATAGTAGCAAGCTTGAGGAAGAGGCTTTTACATTTGCAGAAAGCAACTTAATAAAACTAAAATGTCTTTTGTGCAAGCTTCAGAACTAGTGAGTGATTCAGGAACATTTGGCCTCTTGTTTTGATGTTAGGTATAATGTGGAAAACAAGCATTGGTGTGTTTGCAGTAAATCAATAGGCTTGTGGTGGACATATCTGGCAGTGTAATTATTCTGTTGTAGAAGCTAGTGATCCTACTGACCACTTGTCCTGTCCACTACTAATCTATCCTGCAGACTTGACCTCTGTGTGACCTCTGCTAGGCTGGAGAATTCCCCATTTCCTCACAGGACTTATAATGACCCTGCTTTATCTAATAACATAATTACGGTATTTCTTTCAATGCTTTGCTTCGATTTGGTTATTTATGTGCTTGGATCTTTTGAAGTGTGGCCATTTGCAGCCTTTTACAGACCAACAAAGTGACTGTTTCTGGCTGGCTCTGTTCATCTCCTTGTGTCTAGGTACTGGTTGTATATGTATCGGTAGGACTGGAGTCAAAAATCTTCTCATTGTCATTGCATATGATTCTTAATAATTTATGGAAAGTCCCTAGGGACCTAAGAAGCTGTTGCTTTCTCCTTTCAGTCAATCTGGCAGTGTAAACTTTGACTCCTTAAAACAGAGTAATGGAACTAGTTGGAAAATTATGTCTTGAAAACAAACCAAACATAATAAGTTAATGGAAGAATTCCAAAGCACATTTCATTTATACAGGGAAGAAACTTCAGGAAACTATCAACTGGCATAATGATTTGTAATGAGACCGTTATCAAAAAGTCAGACACAATCTGTCTGTAGAATCACCAGTAGATATTGGTAGAAGATATCCTCACTAGTATTATTGATGAATATCTTCTGGAAGATAACATCACTGGTACATACCATCAATGGTAGATATGTTCACTGATAGATATTCTCCAAGGTGGATACCCTTACTGGTAGATATCATCAGTGGTAGATACCCTCACTGGTAGATACCCTCACTGGTAGATATCATCAGTGGTAGATATTATCACTGGTAGATGTCATCACTGGTAGATACCCTCACTTGTAGATACCCTCACTTGTAGATACCCTCACAGGGAGATACCCTCACTGGGAGATACCCTCACTGGGAGATACCCTCACTGGTAGATACCCTCACTGGTAGATACCCTCAATGGTAGATAACCTCACTGGTAGATATCCTCACTGGTAGATAACATCACTTGTATATATCCTCACTCTTAGACACCATCACTGCTAGATGTCCTCATGGGTAGATGTCATTACTTGTAGATACCCTCACTGGTAGATATTCTCCCTGGTAGATACCCTTACTGGTACATAACATCACTGTAAGATATTATTCCTGGTAGATACCCTCACTGGTACATAACATCACAGATAACCATGCTTGTCAATACTCTCACTGGTAGATAACATCACTGGTAGATACCCTCACTGGTACATAACATCACAGATAACCATGCTTGTCAATACTCTCACTGGTAGATAACATCACTGGTAGATACCCTCACTGGTACATAACATCACAGATAACCACGCTTTTCGATACCCTCACCTGCAGATAACATCACTGGTAGATATTCTTCCTGGTAGATACCCTCACTGGTACATAACATCACAGTTAGATAACCATGCTTGTCAATACCCTCACCAGTAGATAACATCACTGGTAGATACCCTCACCGTTAGATAACATCATTGTGAGATTTTCACTGATAGGTAACAATCCCTGTTGATATCCTCACTGGTAGAATACATTACTGGTAGATAATATGACTTAAAGTTATCTTTCACTGGTAGATGTAAATGTTGAAAAAGTAACAGGAAATAGATTTCCATAATAAGATTAGAACATTGGTATGAATTTATTAGCTGTCACATGTTGTTGAAACATTTGTCTTCAGAATGCTATATGTATAGTTCCGTACAGCTTGATCCCTTCAACCATGTCATTGAAATATTTGGGATCTGGCCCTCACTTGATATTTGATAGTGTGCTTCAAAGGAACTGTGATAAGGTGTCAATTTACTACAGGGTTATTTTTCAAGTAAACAAAGACCCTGTCACATATGATATTGTAGTTTCACCAGGAAAATTGGACTCCATTTCTCTGTCTTGAAACATAAATAAATCCTCGTCTTAAGGAACAATTTGACTGACAGCTGTCACCATAAAAACCTTTTGCATATGAGGATATCTTCTGATTGTCCTAATTTGTTTTACTGGAGTTCAGTTACACTTCTATAGAAGAGGAAGCACCTGTTTTCCTCCCCCACTTACTAGGTACACACCTACAAACTTGTAAGTCTGGACAGGTGTCAGATTGTACAACAGACCAGACGGCTCTGTTGGTATCACATTGGCATGTACATCTCACTCCAGGCGTCACATTTCACAAGCCCTTTCTGATACTGCCTTTAGATTGGGGATTGTAACAAGGGGATGTTGCCAAGAGTTGCATGCCCCTGATAAGATAGGGGTAGGAGGGAGAAAGTGAGGTCATGACCTTTTGTATCAGGAGTAGCAATACTCAGTGAGCTAATTATCTATACTTAATGGAATTTGCCCAAGTCCACACGATTAATTGCTGTATAGATTTTTGATGTGTGTACATGAAAAGTGATAAGATTGGTAATCATCTCCACAGACTCCTGCAGGAGACTGAAACAGACCACTCTGCTATCATGCATACATCTTACATAATTTACACAGAATCTCCCTCTGGATTTCTAGTTTTTTTTATGCTGATTAAAAAGATGTTTGATTACAATTTTTACCCAGTTTGATTGATTTAGTTAATTGATTTGATTGGTAGTATCAGCGAACATCTTCAATTTTTTCTGGTTTTATTTTGTGAATTTCCTGATAAGAAAACTGTATTGCCATAGAGTTGGTATGCTGTTGGATCTGTATAGCAGTAGTTGGTTTTAGATAGAGAGTAAATAGTATGGCTATCAACACTTAACTAAGTGGATAGTGATGTGTTTTAACAGAGGTTGCCTGATGGATGGGACGGATGACAGGTGATGGATTTATTACCTTTCTCAAGGGGACCATTACTTTCACTGCAAACCCTAGAAACACAGAAAACATTGCTTTCATATTTCATTCAGAATTTCAAATATTGTTAAAAGCATAAATTTTGAAGGGACACATGTTTTTAAGAGTGCTATTATACATAAGCTCAAATTTTCACTATATTTTGTTGAAAGTAGCCATCAGTATACCATGTAAAAATTAGTTAAAAAAGGTCACTGTGACTTACCAATTTGTTGCTGTCATGGCTATTTCCAGCTGATTCTGAGCTGAAATTCTTCATGCTAGATAATATACTTGCACCTGGTTCAATGTTCTAATTTACTGTTAATTCATTAAATAAACATAATGACATCAGAAAATTTGGTGAAAAAAGTTACTCAGATACCTTATGTTTTATATTTACATTTTGAAAACATAAGTATCTTTTATGATTTATAGAGCCAAAATGTTTGTACCTCATCTTATCCATAAGGAGTACCAGATGCTGTAAATAATTTTCTACAGATGTATTCAAAAAGAGTCAATTTTGCTGTAATACATTGAACAGACATATTGAGAGGGAACTTACTTTGGAGCTACCCATTGTCATGTCTTTAAAGTAAAGTTGCTTAGCATTAACATAACAGATAAATCCTTATAAGGGAAATTACCTGAATGCCTGCATTGGACAGAAGTATTGAGAGGGAACTTTCTTAGGAGTTACACATTGTCATGTCTTTAAAGTAAAGTTGCTTAGCATTAACATAACAGATAAATTCTTATAAGGGAAATTACCTGAATGCCTGCATTGGACAGACGTATTGAGATGGAACTTTCTTTGGAGTTACACATTGTCATGTCTTTAAAGTAAAGTTGCTTAGCATTAACATAACAGATAAATCCTTATAAGGGAAATTACCTGAATGCCACGAAAGCATTAAAGAGTGTTACAGTATTATTAAGTGAGATTTATTTCATGTTTTAGGGATAATATTTAGTCAGGTGATGTGTAGCTAGGAGTCATTTGGTCATGATATGCATGGATTGGTTTCTTTCTGTAGTTTGTTGTCTAAAATAGGGACAGGGTCTTCTGCCTCCATTTTCACTAGGTTGTCTGTCATGTAGAGAGCTCTGATAGAGATGTTGGTACTACTAGTAAAAGCATGATTGATACAGTGTGTTGTGAGTTAGATGTTATGAATTGAATGTGAAGATGATGAGTCCCCACAGGAATTGGTAGGCTTCCTTCAGTAAGCTTTTCCACTTTGGACTTATTAGTGAAATGTTGAAATGTTTTGCATCCTTAATGTGTTTTGATCCTGATTGATAGGAATTTGATTGTAGAAACTTGACTGATAAGAGATCAGCGCTCCCGCAGCCAATCTACATAAATATATATAAATACATTACTCCCTCTTCATTACAGAAGGCAAAGATGACGATAAAAAGAAGTCTTCCACTTTGGGTCGATTCTTCCGGAATATTGGGTTGCGACGATCTGGAAAGAAGCACTCGTACAAACCACATAAAGGTATATATATAGTGGCTAATGTACGGCTATAACGGTATCCATGGAAATCTCTGGTGTTCTAGCAATAGATTTATACTTATAGTCATGTAATTTTGGAGGTCAATGACACAAAGGTCACATCAGTCTATACTACTCAGAAAATTGAAACACAAAGCCCAATAATAAAATAGGAAAGTAATCAATGTAAAGGAGGAACAAAGAACAAAATGTCATTGCTAAAAAAAGGATCAACTGGCCTTCAGGTCAATACCCAGATCATGTTGTATGCTTAACTAGTCACAGAAGAATAAAGAAAAAGAACAAGAATGGAATATCTTCATATTACAACATAGCTTACCAATGCTTTACTTTTGTAGGGGACCCAAATGCTTATGACATCACTATGGACGATGACGACCGAATGGCACTAATGTTGATGGTCAAAGAGGGCAAGATTACCACTGAACATGCCCTTCAAGTGGTCAGTGGAAATTGGCCAGAAGGCACCATTGTAGGACTGACCTCTGATTAAATCTAATATTTAATGTGTGATTGTTGTTATATCTGCCATGTAGAACAGAAGTAGACATGAAGTTGTAACAGAGAGTGAAATCATCCTCTGATGTAGATTGGTATCATACATAGTATGATGATTAGTCCTGTTATAGATTTTATATGTCATCATCAACCACTTCAGGGTATACAATATCCGAGATCAAGTAGGGTTGAATTGCATAATTCATCAAAAGGATAAATGATACGGTCTTGAAGAATATTACAATTTCAAAGTACTGATGTTTTAAACATTTAGGAATAAAATTATCATCTTGGTATTTGGTAAATGTGACAAATGTCAACACTGTTTGTAGATGTTTTGTACATGGTTTCAGATTTTACATGAAAAGAACACTGAATTGTCAATAAAAATTTCTAAAATAGAAAGCTTTTTAAATGTCGGTTCCAAATTTATATTTAATGATTTTATCTTGAAGGTGAAAAAATATGAGGAAGAAAGACGGAAAGATATTGAACAGGTAAGTGTACAGGTTGTAATGAAAAGGTACAAAAAAATTTGTTATACAGCAAATCTGTCAAATAAGAGAAAAGATTGTATAAAAAGAGGGGGAACAAAAATAAAAAAAAATATCTACCTTACACCAGGAACTTATGATGGTGGTTGCTTTGTTGGAGGTGTCTACAAATACTGTTTTTTATTTCAGAGAGAGAAGGCTTCAAAAAGGAAGAAGAAACTACCTAAACCAGTCAAGTCACCATCAGCTACTTATACAGGTAAACACAGCACCATCATTGATCACTTCATTTAAAAATTTATATTGAAAATTCCATTACATCAAGATAATTTTGCCTCATATTCAAATAGATGTTTCTTTGTCATTTTAGGGTCAGTTCCACGTTGTGATATCTGTTCTGGTTACAAAGGATCTCCACATGACCTTGGTTACCCGATGGGCAATGTTTGTGTGGACCCTACTCATCAGATGGAATACAGTCAACACCGACGTGTACACAGTGTTGGTCACATTGACCATGCCTACTCTTCCCGTTCCCCAGAGGGCACACGCTCACTAAACTGTACACCTACCCACTGTGCCATGAGTCGGTCATCAGCAGTCAGTACCCCTGTCAGTTTTTATTCGCCGGGCCACCATCCTAGACTGTACTCTCCAGTATTCCCACAAGATCCGCGCCTCGCACACTACCAATGTCGTGCATGTAGTCACCCCCATGGCTCCATGTCCTCTGGTGGTGTTGCTGGTCGCTGCCATACAGCCCTTGGTGTGCGCGTCAGTGAATCATCACCTGGGGTGAATTTGACGCGGGACGACCTATCACCAGGTGGGGAGGCCAGTCGGTCAGGGTCATGTGTTGACCATTCCCCATCCACTACCTCCTTTGATCTAGTGTCATCTGAGTCTGAACATTCAATTGACTGTCAGTCACATGGTCATCCCTCTCACAACCGCATGGCCAATCAAAAGGAGAGTGGCCACTACCTCAGCAATACTGGTGCAATATCTCCCGGAGACAGGAACAAGTCACCCCAGGGAGTCTGGCAGAGAAATGTGGCTCACCGGGATACAAATAGTCGTAATAATGTCAAGGTAAGACAACTATTTACAGTTAAAACTTGTTTGTTAAAATGGGATCAAGAGTTTCTGACTTTTAGCTCATTTATCTGCAGGGCAAAGGAAAGGGCAAGTAAGCTTATGATATAGTGCAGCTAACATTAGTTTTTCCCTTTAAAAATCTTTTTCTCAAGAACCAAGTGACTATAGGTACTGATGTTAGAAATATAGCGTGCTGGGATTTGAAGTATATTCAAATGAATGACCTTGTCCCACATTCAGGATAATAAGGGTCAAATAGGTTATCAATAATTAAGAAACTCAAGGTATCATGAAGTGTGCTTGAAGAAATTGCTAACAAGTGTGTTTAATTAAATGACCTTGACCCACTTTCAAGGCCATAAGGGTCAAATTTGTTAAGTATTTTCAAACAACTTTTCATTAAACAAGAGGTCAAGGGTACTGATATGGGGCCAGGAGTTAAATATGCTGAAATCTTAAACAGCTTCTTCTCAATAACCAAAATATTCAGGGTGTAAATATTGTGCTCTAGGCTTGAAGCATACTTAAATGAAGCACTACCAAATTTGTATGAATGAATATCCTTGACCCTTTTTCAAGGTCAAAGGGATCAGATATGTTAAAATTTTAAAACAATTTCTCAATAAATCAAGAGCAGGTACTGATATTGGGCCTGTGACGTGCTGGAATGAAGGCTACCAAATGTACCGGTATATAAATGAACTAATTTGACCCACTTTCAAGGTCACAGAGGTTAAATGTGCTAAAACCTTTAAATGACTTCTTCTCAATAACTGAGAGGCTGAGGGCGCTGATAGTGGGCTTATATGATGCTGGGATGATGGACATAAAGTTTGATCAAATGAATGACCGTGCCTCACTTTCTAGGTCACTGCAAATTGGAAACTTTACCTATATTAAAAAGTACACTGTAAATTTGACCTTGACCCACTTTGTAGCTCAGAATTATCAATTAGATCTGCAAACATTGAATGACAGGTGAAATTATACAGACCATTTGGGCCTCTTGTTTACAGTAATCATAATTTACCAGAATATTTATACCTATCTAGAAATTGGAACATGGTTTAACATTTCTAAAAGATTTTTTTGGGGTTAAAAATAGGACACTTACAATTTCCTCACAGATAACGAAGAAAATTAATCTTAAGCATCTGGGACATTTAGATAGGATTTAACACCGACTGAGAATGTGAAATACCAAGGGTCTGACCTTCCAGGAGACAGAGGGATGGAATGGCCAAATAGGGAAAATAGAAGTAAATCTTTAAAATTCTTCATTTGTTCAAATAAAAGAAATTTAACCAAATTTTGGTTAGAGCATTCTTATATGAAGGGAACTTGTTTTGAATTTAGGGAAGGTCTACAATCCTAGAGACTGAGTTGCAAGGCCTAGAAGGAATAAATCTTCAAAATATGTCTTCTTCTGTTCAGATTCTTGGTAAAATTTTTTCTAAATCATCCTAGGTTAGAGAGAAACCAAGTTCGTGTAAAATGCTATTAATGTAGGTGGTCCATGAGAAGAGAGTTCAAGGTCCAATATGAGATCTACAACAAAATGTTTCAGTCTGCTGAAATTAACAGATTATAGTTAATAAGATAAAAAATTTGTCTAAAGTATCCTCAGGTGAAATGGAATCAATCTGTACAATTGATGGTTTTTAAACTAACCTAGCTAAATGGGGTTGATGCCAAATAAGGTAGTTTTCAAATAGTTCTTCTCTACTGATGAGAGGATTGAATTGAAATTTAGTCATAAACCTTAAAGGATTTTTTGATGTGAGACCAAACTTTTTTTTTACTCAAAATCCTATATATATTTGTCTGAAAATACTTGGTAAAAGATTTTGATTTCCATTTTTAAAACTTTTCTTTGCTAATCCACTATCTGTCTATGATGGGGATGTAAATCACTTTTGTCTGTCAGAAGTAAGGAGGAATCTTTTGGAGGCTCTTTGTTTATCATATATTGAACTTGATTTGGTATTTAAGATGGCTGTCAGCCTCCATTTTGAATTTAGACATGGAACTTTTTCGTTGCTATTTCTGAAGAATAACTGAAAGAATCTTCTTTTTTTCTTTATTTTAATTCCCTTTTAACATTCCATGATGAAGCCTTTTTGATATGCCCATTAGGAAGTGATTCTCTGTGCTGATACAATTAGAGATATTTTAGATGCCTTGTTACTTTAGCTTCTAACTCCATTCATCATTTTAAAATCAATATCGTTCATGTTATAATAATATAATGGCCTGACCCTGATGCAAAATTCAGAAGAGTTTTACACATTTCTGTTGACATTCCTGTACTAAATATGACAGTTGTTTAAACGTGCTGTATTATGGTGTGGATACTGACACGAGTTGTGTAAGACTAGTCACCGACTTGAGGCAGTGCTGCCCCCTCTCTGTCCCAGACACGCCTGGCGGTCATTCGTACCATGTTGCATTAACAGTGCTTCCTGTCAAGTGGCTGAGTAACCAATGTTCTTGATGTTTTCTAAGTTTTATTGATTTTGAATGTTTGTAACACTAGTTAGAATGGGAGCAGTGCTGAACACATTAATCAAATGATGATGAAGCATTTTGTGCCTTTTTGTTGAATCCTACTTCACCACGGCCATTGCATCTCGTCAAATGTGTAACATGGTCTGGGGTTTGGACAGCAGGTATTTTTTATTTGTTTCACGGTTTATTGTGGCCCCTTAGGGACAGATTGACGACTGTCATTGATGAATTATTCAGTCTCCTGTACATAGTGATAAACCAGTTCCTGGACCCTCTGGAACTCCTTCTGTTACTGTGGTACACCAGCTTATTACCAGATTAATGAAATCTATATGCTTCCTCTCTGCTTCACGCCAAATTGGGGGAAGTGGTCGACCATTTGACAATGGTTAATAGAACAAGCTGTAATTGTTCCACTAAACAGCCATTCTAAAGATAATGTCGCCTGTTTATGAAGGCCAGTTTCCTGGACACAAATTCTGTCGTTGGTGGTTGAGTGGATTGTCGCTGGGCAGTGTTTAGGATAAGTGCATAGGGATTAGGAACCACAACATGTAACAAAGTGTTGTGTTTCTTGCTGTCACAGAAAAGAAATGACTGGATTCTGTGACTGTTTTAATGTTCCATTTTCTAATGTGTTGTAAAGGAATGTAGTAATGAGACACTCAGAGCAATTCACCAACAATGTATTATAATGATCCATAATGAAATCAGAATAAATGACACAGATGACCAGTTCTAATAGGATAGAATTATGTGACAGGGATTAGGATAGGTGTGTTCTGATAGGATAGGAGTATGTGACAGGGATTAGGATAGGTGTATTCTGATAGGAGAGGAGTATGTGACAGGGATTAGGATAGGTATGTTCTGATAGGAGAGGAGTATGTGACAGGGATAGATGTGTTCTGATAGGATAGGAGTATGTGACAGGGATAGGTGTGTTCTGATAGGATAGGAGTATGTGACAGGGATAGGTGTGTTCTGATAGGATAGGAGTATGTGACAGGGATTAGGATAGGTGTGTTCTTATAGGATAGAATTATGTGACAGGGATTAGGATAGGTGTGTTCTTATAGGATAGGAGTATGTGACAGGGATAGGTGTGTTCTTATAGGATAGGAGTATGTGACAGGGATTAGGATAGGTGTGTTCTTATAGGATAGGAGTATGTGACAGGGATAGGTGTGTTCTGATAGGATAGGAGTATGTGACAGGGATTAGGATAGGTGTGTTCTTATAGGATAGAATTATGTGACAGGGATTAGGATAGGTGTGTTCTTATAGGATAGAATTATGTGACAGGGATTAGGATAGGTGTGTTCTTATAGGATAGGAGTATGTGACAGTGATAGGTGTGTTCTTATAGGATAGGAGTATGTGACAGGGATTAGTATAGGTGTGTTCTTATAGGATAGAATTATGTGACAGGGATTAGGATAGGTGTGTTCTTATAGGATAGGAGTATGTGACAGGGATTAGGATAGGTGTGTTCTTATAGGATAGAATTATGTAACAGGGATTAGGATAGGTGTGTTCTTATAGGATAGGAGTATGTGACAGGGATAGATGTGTTCTGATAGAATAGAAGTATGTGACAGGGATAGGTGTGTTCTGATAGGATAGGAGTATGTGACAGGGATAGGTGTGTTCTGATAGGATAGGAGTATGTGACAGGGATAGGTGTGTTCTGATAGGATAGGAGTATGTGACAGGGATAGATGTGTTCTGATAGGATAGGAGTATGTGACAGGGATAGGTGTGTTCTGATAGGATAGGAGTATGTGACAGGGATAGGTGTGTTCTGATAGGATAGAGTATGTGACAGGGATTAGGATATGTGTGTTCTGATAGGATAGGAGTATGTGACAGGGATGGGGATAGATGTGTTCTGATAGGATAGGAGTATGTGACAGGGATAGGTGTGTTCTGATAGGATAGGAGTATGTGACAGGGATAGGTGTGTTCTGATAGGATAGTTGTATGTGACAGGGATAGATGTGTTCTGATGGGATAGGAGTATGTGACAGGGATGAGGATAGGTGTGTTCTGATGGGATTGGAGTATGTGACAGGTATGGGGATAGATGTGTTCTGATAGGATAGGAGTATGTGACAGGGATGGGGATAGATGTGTTCTGATGGGATAGGAGTATGTGACAGGGATGGGGATAGATGTGTTCTGATGAGATAGGAGTATGTCACTCGGACAGGTGTGTATTACAGGGATGGGGATAGATGTGTTCTGATAAGATAGGAGTATGTCACTCGGACAGGTGTGTATTACAGGGATGGGGATAGATGTGTTCTGATAAGATAGGAGTATGTCACTCGAACAGGTGTCCATTACAGGGTTGGGGATGGGTGTATTCAAATGGAAAAGAAATATTTGGTGAGAATAGATGTTTTTTGATGTGATAGAAATATAGTAGTTGTAAAATAACTGAAATAAAGTTTTGTTTTTGTGTTATAGGGAAATGTAATGTTTTTGTGTATTTCAGGAAAACTTAGTGATAGGAGCCTCCCCAAAGTCTGCCAGCTCTGACAGTAACCATAGTGCTGATTCCAGTGGACTGTGTAAGTATTTACCATCCAAGTTATGTTGATAACCAGCAGGGACATGAAATCTAATTTATAAGTCAGTAATTAAAGCTGTAGTAAGTCTTTGGTTATTTAATACATATATTTATCAGATAAAACAACAGAGGAGTGCAGAGAATCATAATGTGATATTATATCCACTGTGTGTGGCAGTAGAAGGTAGTTAACTTTAACATTGGAAGGCAACTGTGTGTGGCAGTAGAGGGTAGTTAACTGTTACATTGTAAGGCAACTGTGTGTGGCAGTAGAAGGTATTTCAGTGTTACATAGAAATGCCACTGTGTGTGGCAGTAGAGGTTAGTTAACTTTAACATTGGAAGGCAACTGTGTGTGGCAGTAGAGGGTAGTTAACTGTTACATTGTAAGGCAACTGTGTGTGGCAGTAGAAGGTATTTCAGTGTTACATAGAAATGCCACTGTGTGTGGCAGTAGAGGTTAGTTAACTTTAACATTGGAAGGCAGTGTTACATAGAAATGCCACTGTGTGTGGCAGTAGAGGGTAGTTAACTGTAACATTGTAAGGCAACTGTGTGTGGCAGTAGAAGGTATTTCAGTGTTACATAGAAATGCCACTGTGTGTGGCAGTAGAGGGTAGTTAACTGTTACATTGTAAGGCAACTGTGTGTGGCAGTAGAAGGTATTTCAGTGTTACATAGAAATGCCACTGTGTGTGGCAGTAGAGGGTAGTTAACTGTAACATTGTAAGGCAACTGTGTGTGGCAGTAGAAGGTATTTCAGTGTTACATAGAAATGCCACTGTGTGTGGCAGTAGAGGGTAGTTAACTGTTACATTGTAAGGCAACTGTGTGTGGCAGTAGAAGGTATTTCAGTGTTACATAGAAATGCCACTGTGTGTGGCAGTAGAGGGTAGTTAACTGTAACATTGTAAGGCAACTGTGTGTGGCAGTAGAAGGTATTTCAGTGTTACATAGAAATGCCACTGTGTGTGGCAGTAGAGGTTAGTTAACTTTAACATTGGAAGGCAACTGTATGTGGCAGTAAAAGGTATTTCAGTGTTACATAGAAATGCCACTGTGTGTGGCAGTAGAGGGTAGTTAACTGTAACATTGTAAGGCAACTGTATGTGGCAGTAGAAGGTATTTCTTCATTGTCTGAAATAACTGTTGCATATAGCATATTTCAATGTGTCATTGGAAAGCCAATGTATGTGGCAGTAGAGGGTATTTCAGTCTGGAACTGGAAGGCAATTATGTGGCAGTTGAAGTTATTTTACTGTGGCATAGGAAGGCCACTCAGTGTGGCAGTAGAAGGAATTCATTGTGGCATTTAATGGCCAATGAAAGGGCCTACAAGGATTTCAATCTGGTCCTTCTGAAGAACATCGTATGGCTGAATGTGTTATTGGTAGGGATTGTAATTTTGGATAGCCATTTAGTTTATTGGCAAAGCAAGGGCTTGAGTTGCTGTAAATTAGATCAATGTTATACACATGGCATTAATGCAGCATTAATAATAAACACTGTGATTTAAACTGCTCTATTGTTAGCATGAGAGATGAAATATCTTGGATGGAATTTTTGAGCACCACATCGTAAAATCAGTTTTATTATAAGGTGGAGAGAAGATATGTCCTTGAGGGAAATTTAAGCACCTGATAATTATATCAGTTTTATTTCAAGCTTGAAAGATGAAATGTCCTTGACATGCTCTTTTAGTGCCACTTCATAAATACAATTTGATATACATTGTACAGTTTAACTATGTTATGTCTTTGACATATTTATCCAGTAACAAAGTAATGATACCTTTTATGCAAGCAGAACAAATTATTTCACAAGTAATACATTTCTGGTGTTTTACAGTTTTGTCAAAGTATGAATAGCTGATTATGAAAAAGCTCATGAAAGATTTATCCTTATTGTGATGGTTGTATTAACACCTAGGTAATGTTATTCCAGAAGGTGTTGTAGTAGTGGTGGTGGAGGGGTTTGTCTGAATTTTTATTAGGTTAAGCTGTTTACTCTCTCATTAAAGATGGTTTTCTATAATAAGAAAATCCAATTTCTCTCTTCGTCATTAGGTAGCTACCGAAGTAGCAGCCCTAATGCAGGTCAGACCATGGTGTCAGGGGAGGAAGTTTCAGGGTGTGGTCAAGTATCATACGTCCAGGCACATTCTCATTTTGTGCCCACCTCCAATAGTAGAGATGCCCTCACATTACAGGTAAGTGACTTTTGCTGACATATTGACATACTAAGTTGATCTTTGTTTACATTGTGACATATAAATGAGTCCTGTTTGATGTATTACAGAAGGGGGATGTCATCCGTGTCCTTTACAAGCCTCCAGGGGATCTATGGAGAGGCGTTCTTAAGGGAAAGACTGGCTGGTTCAGAGTATCATGTGTGGAACCCCTGTACACTGGAGAAACCACTCTTGAGCCATGGCTGGACAGGCGTCCTAACAAACCCAAAACTGTACAGGAGGTGCTTCAGGTCATAGGATTGGAGGTATGTTGTTTAGGTAATCAGATCTTAGAGGAATGGAAGTAGTATGTCACAGCAACCAGATGGTACAGGACTGGAGGTAGGATGTCACAGCAACCAGATCATATAGGCCTGAAGGAAAGTTGTCATAGTAACCATAGTATATTGGCATGTAGGAAGGGTATATCTTGTGAAAAGTCATAAAATGTGGACAGTCATAGTTACCAGGTCAAGTAAGGGTAGAAGCTCTGATACTGATGTGGTTATAATGAAGGCATACACTTCAAGATGTAGTAGTGATGGATCAGAGTATCAGACAGTACGTAGGTTGTTTAAATCATCACCTGGTATGGTTAAAGGTGCTTTGTCTGTAAACAATCACCATGTCATTGGTTGTCATAGATACCAGATTGTAGAACAGGAGATGACTGGATATATCTGTCTTGTCTTAGTGTAGGTCTGTTCTCATTACTAACCTTTTGTTTCTGCAGGCAAACTAGTATGTCAGTTAAATGTAACATTTCAAGCATAAAGTTGGAAAGAGCTGCAGATTTTAGTAAAGGCCTTGAAATGCTTTATTAAGGTTTATCAGAAAACAAAAGAAGGTCAGTAAGTGTAAAACAGCCCAGTAATACTGGTAGGTGTTAGAGTTATCCAATAATACTGATATATATAGACTATGATACCGCTGAAAATATTAAACGTTATTGTGAACTTTTTAACCCACTTTGGTTATATCTTAATGGTATAAAATTGCTTTTTTTAGAGTCTGGAGGCAGTGTTTATCCAGAACGGCTTTGATGAATTGGATTGTTTTGCTGATATTGAAGAAGAGGATCTTGATGCCTTGGGTATATTTGACCCACTGATCAGGACCAAACTGCTTAGTACAGCTGACCTCATCAAAAACACACAAGGTTAGTAAACTGCTCTCCATATCATTCCTTATTTCAACCAAACTTCACACACAGGAACAAGATAAGTCTCAGTAGAGGTCAAATTTCAGGGATGTAGTAACAAAGATAATGTTATCATTTCTGTTTTTTGGAAGTACATACTAGTTAGTGCTGTGGAAGGAAATCAGATTCCATGCATTTGGCAATCTTTTTTGCCCATCAGCCAAAGTTGAACTTCATGGGAATTTGTATGTATAGCAATGCCTTGTTATTTAATCGTAGCTGTTAAATATTGAATGAAAATGATTGTGGTATCTTACAGATACACCAACGTTGCAGTGGAAGGTCCACCAGGGACGAGCAGGACCTCCTGTTGTCTTCCTGAACAAAGAGTACCGACATGGCACATCTTACCCTCCAAGTCAGGACTCGGGTTGCTACGCAAGTTTTGAACATCTAGCTCATCGGGATGCATACCCAACCACAAGTGAATTGAAGCAGCAGTATTGTTTACATTCCAACAAGGAGAACATTTCCCCTGGAGTGCGGGCTGGAGCCCAAGGCCTGGGAATGTCCCGGCTCCAACGGGGACACTCGGGCCTGAGTAGTTCAGAGACTTGTGAGGACATGGACAAGAGTGATAAGGAGTATACTGCTGAGGATCGTGAGGTCAGTGAGATAACCAATAGTGTGGATTGTCCGCCCTCAACCAATGACCTGTCCAGACAGTCTGGTGATATGGTCATCATGTGTAACTATGCTGGAACGCAAACTACTCCTACCTATGGGAGATCCAACTGTGATAATTTAGCTAATAACCTTTCCTCACCCAAAGCTCACATACGCCAAAGTAGCAGCACCAGTGGTGACTTTGTGTCTTCTAGTCAATCACAACAAGGGAGTGTGTGTTCCCCATTACATAGTGTACAACCGTTTCCACGTAAGTGTGTTCCCAGACAGGACTGGAATTTTCGAGATGTTCAGGTCCAAGTTATGTGTCCTCTAGGAAGTCTGAATCTAAACGCTGATGGTGAACAGAATGGTGAGGGGCTGCCTCCTCCCCATCACGTAACACCTTCTCATTCACACCCGTCACACCCTCCCACCTCTCTAGTGCTAAGTAATCCTCAGGGGCGCAAACCCCATGAGACAGGTAATGGAGTGTACCGCAGTGTGTCTCGTCCAGATGACGGAGGGTACCGAAGTGTAGGTCAGTTGTCACGACGATCCATGTCTGCAGACAGAGCCAATGTCAAGGCAACCAAACAAGAAGACCCGCCAGAATACAGAACTGTGATGCGCTCTCTACTCAGTCTTATAACATCAAAGCTCCTGTCTGAAAATATAGATCTTGCCTTAGAACCATACTCCACACAGGTAGGTATAGCCATATAAACCTGTATTGTTACCTTATCCTTACATGGCAACATCCATGGTGGAAATTCCTTGTCTTACTCCCAGGCAAACTGTCGGTGTTATGGTTTGTAGGTATTACATGATTAATATCTCTTCAGTGTTGTAGTTTATAGGTATTACATGATTAATATCTCTTCAGTGTTGTAGTTTATAGGTATTAGGAGTTTATAGGTATTAGGAGATTAATATCTCTTCAGTGTTGTAGTTTATAGGTATTACAGATTAATATCTCTTCAGTGTTGTAGTTTATAGGTATTACATGATTAATATATCTTCAGTGTTGTAGTTTATAGGTATTACATGATTAATATATCTTCAGTGTTGTAGTTTATAGGTATTAGGTGATTAATATCTCTTCAGTGTTGTAGTTTATAGGTATTACATGATTAATATCTCTTCAGTGTTGTAGTTTATAGGTATTAGGAGATTAATATCTCTTCAGTGTTGTTGTTTATAGGTATTACATGATTAATATCTCTTCAGTGTTGTAGTTTATAGGTATTAGGTGATTAATATCTCTTCAGTGTTGTAGTTTATAGGTATTACATGATTAATATCTCTTCAGTGTTGTAGTTTATAGGTATTAGGAGATTAATATCTCTTCAGTGTTGTAGTTTATAGGTATTAGGATGATTAATATCTCTTCAGTGTTGTAGTTTATAGGTATTACATGATTAATATAGTGTTGTAGTTTATAGGTATTACATGATTAATATCTCTTCAGTGTTGTAGTTTATAGGTATAAGGAGATTAATATCTCTTCAGTGTTGCAGTTTATAGGTATTAGGAGATTAATATCTCTTCAGTGTTGTAGTTTATAGGTATTAGGAGATTAATATCTCTTCAGTGTTGTAGTTTATAGGTATTAGGAGATTAATATCTCTTCAGTGTTGTAGTTTATAGGTATTAGGAGATTAATATCTCTTCAGTGTTGTAGTTTATAGGTATTACATGATTAATATCTCTTCAGTGTTGTAGTTTATAGGTATTACATGATTAATATCTCTTCAGTGTTGTAGTTTATAGGTATTAGGAGATTAATATCTCTTCAGTGTTGTAGTTTATAGGTATTAGGAGATTAATATCTCTTCAGTGTTGTAGTTTATAGGTATTACATGATTAATATCTCTTCAGTGTTGTAGTTTATAGGTATTACATGATTAATATCTCTTCAGTGTTGTAGTTTATAGGTATTAGGTGATTAATATCTCTTCAGTGTTGTAGTTTATAGGTATTACATGATTAATATCTCTTCAGTGTTGTAGTTTATAGGTATTACATGATTAATATCTCTTCAGTGTTGTAGTTTATAGGTATTAGGAGTGATTTAATATCTTAATTCTCTTCAGTGTTGTAGTTTATAGGTATTAGGAGATTAATATCTCTTCAGTGTTGTAGTTTATAGGTATTAGGAGATTAACACCTCTTCAGTGTTGTAGTTTATAGGTATTAGGTGATTAATATCTCTTCAGTGTTGTAGTTTATAGGTATTAGGAGATTAACACCTCTTCAGTGTTGTAGTTTATAGGTATTAGGTGATTAATATCTCTTCAGTGTTGTAGTTTATAGGTATTAGGTGATTAATATCTCTTCAGTGTTGTAGTTTATAGGTATTACATGATTAATATCTCTTCAGTGTTGTAGTTTATAGGTATAAGGAGATTAATATCTCTTCAGTGTTGTAGTTTATAGGTATTAGGAGATTAACACCTCTTCAGTGTTGTAGTTTATAGGTATTAGGAGATTAATATCTCTTCAGTGTTGTAGTTTATAGGTATTAGGAGATTAATATCTCTTCAGTGTTGTAGTTTATAGGTATTACATGATTAATATCTCTTCAGTGTTGTAGTTTATAGGTATTAGGAGATTAATATCTCTTCAGTGTTGTAGTTTATAGGTATTACATGATTAATATCTCTTCAGTGTTGTAGTTTATAGGTATTAGGAGATTAATATCTCTTCAGTGTTGTAGTTTATTAGGTATTAGGAGATTAATATCTCTTCAGTGTTGTAGTTTATAGGTATTAGGTGATTAATATCTCTTCAGTGTTGTAGTTTATAGGTATTACGTGATTAATATCTCTTAAGTGTTGTAGTATATAGGTATTACATGATTAATATCTCTTCAGTGTTGTAGTTTATAGGTATTATGATTAATATCTCTTCAGTGTTGTAGTTTATAGGTATTATTAATATCTCTTCAGTGTTGTAGTTTATAGGTATTAGGTGATTAATATCTCTTCAGTGTTGTAGTTTATAGGTATTAGGTGATTAATATATATTCAGTGTTGTAGTTTATAGGTATTAGGTGATTAATATCTCTTCAGTGTTGTATTTATAGGTATTACATGATTAATATCTCTTCAGTGTTGTAGTTTATAGGTATTAGTGTTGTAGTTTATAGGTAATATTAATATCTCTTCAGTGTTGTAGTTTATAGGTATTAGGAGATTAATATCTCTTCAGTGTTGTAGTTTATAGGTATTAGGTGATTAATATCTCTTCAGTGTTGTAGTTTATAGGTATTAGGTGATTAATATCTCTTCAGTGTTGTAGTTTATAGGTATTAGGTGATTAATATCTCTTCAGTGTTGTAGTTTATAGGTATTAGGTGATTAATATCTCTTCAGTGTTGTAGTTTATAGGTATTAGGTGATTAATATCTCTTCAGTGTTGTAGTTTATAGGTATTACATGATTAATATCTCTTCAGTGTTGTAGTTTATAGGTATTAGGTATTAATATCTCTTCAGTGTTGTAGTTTATAGGTATTATGATTAATATCTCTTCAGTGTTGTAGTTTATAGGTATTAGGAGATTAATATCTCTTCAGTGTTGTAGTTTATAGGTATTAGGAGATTAACACCTCTTCAGTGTTGTAGTTTATAGGTATTAGGAGATTAATATCTCTTCAGTGGTGGAGTTTATAGGTATTAGGAGATTAATATCTCTTCAGTGTTGTAGTTTATAGGTATTAGGTGATTAATATCTCTTTCAGTGTTGTAGTTTATAGGTATTACATGATTAATATCTCTTCAGTGTTGTAGTTTATAGGTATTAGGTGATTAATATCTCTTCAGTGTTGTAGTTTATAGGTATTAGGTGATTAATATCTCTTCAGTGTTATAGTTTATAGGTATTAGGAGATTAATATCTCTTCAGTGTTGTAGTTTATTAGGTATTAGGAGATTAATATCTCTTCAGTGTTGTAGTTTATAGGTATTAGGAGATTAATATCTCTTCAGTGTTGTAGTTTATAGGTATTAGGAGATTAATATCTCTTCAGTGTTGTAGTTTATAGGTATTAGGAGATTAATATCTCTTCAGTGTTGTAGTTTATTAGGTATTAGGAGATTAATATATCTTCAGTGTTGTAGTTTATAGGTATTAGGAGATTAATATCTCTTCAGTGTTGTAGTTTATAGGTATTACATGATTAATATCTCTTCAGTGTTATAGTTTATAGGTATTACATGATTAATATCTCTTCAGTGTTGTAGTTTATAGGTATTAGGAGATTAATATCTCTTCAGTGTTGTAGTTTATAGGTATTAGGAGATTAATATCTCTTGAATTTATGCTCATCAAATACTAAATAAAAGGCCTCATTACTATGTAGATTGTACTAAAGTCCTATTTTATGCAGACGTGTGAAGTTTTAGATGTTGATAAAATGTTGTATTACAGACAGGTGAGTGTGGGATTCCTCCACTCTTAGTCCAGCGGTACGCAGATGAGCTGAGACAGGACCTAGTCAGTGTGGCACTGGTGGTAGACCAAATCCGTGTCCAACAGCTGTGTAGCAGACACAGACCAGCGGTTAGTTAAGCTTTATATAGGAGAGTCTCTTCTCTCTTTGACTTTCTTTCCATGGCAGTGTTATAAAAAAAAAACCCTAGAATCATATTCACTTGCTATGATTAAATATGGTGACATATGTGGTGGAAAATAACTATTGAACACTCAGATTTAAAGAGAGATGTGAACAAGGGGAGGCAACTCTAAATTTTTATTTTTTTTTTTATTTTCAACAGGTGCTGTCACGTGATTTGCCTGACTCTGCAGCAAAAGCATGTGAGATAAAGATTTCTTCGATTCCGGAGTTCTTTACATCTATAGGTCTTCCTATGTACACCAATATGTTCTTGGAGGAAAAACTCACTGCTATGGAGGACTTACTTCAGCTCAATTTCGAGGATATTCGTGATATCACTCGCACACACGCAAAGCATGTCAAACGAATCTCACATGCACTTGATTGGGTACGTACTCGTATTTCAACACTGAGGAAGACAAGTAACATGGATGCAGCAGTGATGGATCGAGTGTAGAGTAATATCCTTAACCTAAGTGTGTTCTCTGATAATAAACATTAGTGTTCATGTAAAGATTTATGTCTATTCATCCAAGGATAAACATCCACTGTCATATATTGATTTATATCAGTTCATCTCAACATATACTGAATAACGTCAGGTCATACAAGGATAAGTATTTATGTTCATATAAGTATTAACGTCTGTTCAAATGAGGATAAACATTTGTGTTCATATAAATATAAAAATCTCTGAATATGAAGGTAAAGGTTTATGTTCATATTACAGTGTAGTTTAAATGTCAGTTCATATGAGGATAAATGTTTGTGTTCATGTAAGAATTTACCCTTGGTCATATGAAGATAAGTGTTCATAAAAGAATTTGTAAGAATTGACATGTGTTCAAGTGAGGAAAGACAAATGTTGGTGGTGTACCATTGTGGTAATTGCTGGTTTGATTTGTGCTACAGACAGAAGTCATATGTTAAGAGATCTCCTAACAATAATACAGTATTCCTGGTGTTTTACGATTGGCATTTTAAAAATTTTACAATTAGCATCTGTGGACCTTTGTAGTCAATTTTTCTGGGTTAAAACGTTTTAATGAAGAAATATTTCATCAGTGTCTGCTTTACACATTATCCACTATGTCAACTGTGGTAGGTTTACACAGTGTGACATCATATATAGTAGCTAGATTTTATCATGTCTGTTTGGGTTAGCATTCAGGACCTGGGAATTCAGGAATTTCATTTCACACAAAAAAGATTCAATGTATTGTATTCTAAATTTTGTTTGAACATGAGGAAAATTTGGTAACTACCTTAAAATAAAATCTTGATTTCAGGAAAAAACGTCACCATCACCCTTTTGGCTATATTTTGAGGGCAGATATGATGAAAACTAAAAGATATAATACATAGAATTAGTCTAAATATAGATGTGATCAGTTCATCATCACTTTAACAGAAATCCCACTCCATATCGTTATTCTAGTAGCCTCATGTCTGAAGTTCTACTAGCTTCATAAGTTTTTAGATAGCAATTCAAAGTCATAGATCTGCCTTGGACAAATTGAAATGTGTGCATGGTTATTTGGAGGTCAAGGTTGTTGTAGTAATTTACTATAACACTTCTAGTCATCAGTTGAGCTAAGTTATTTTGACAGGATTTTATGCGGCCTTTTATGTTTACTTTGTACATATTTTTACGAAGTCTGAGTATGATCATTATCAATCCGAGATGAATGTACCATTGCTGGGAAAAAAATTCTCAAATACATGTTTTTATAGAAAAAAAAGGATTAGCTCCATCAGAAATGTAAGACAGGTCAGTGGTGTTGAATGCCCTCTGCTAGGTAGTACACAGTAATATTCTACAAAGTGTAGTGGTGTAAGGGTAAGGAAATCCAGTTGGTTAAGCCCAGCTGTTTGTCTTAGGCTGAAGAAGTCTTACATTTACAAACAATTCTCAGCCTAAGAGCTCTTGTACTAAAAAAATGAATAATCATGTCAGTTAATTCATCTCACAATCCCAACCCTGAAAAGTAAGTTTTAATTAGAAGATGACAACATGTTTTATCAAGGAGTAACCCTGGTGTAACAAAAAAACTTATTGACTCAATGCATCACAATTGAATAAATGATAGTAATGCTCGTTTATGGGTGTCTGTATGATACAACTGGCTTGTTATGAAAGTCTTTAATTCAAGCTTTTGTGTTCTAACAAACAAACACAGGAAACACATGATGTTTTTTTTTTTTTTTTTAAATCTTATTGCTTGTATTTAGATAGAAATGTGTTGATGACCCATTTATCTGTTATTTAGTGTGTTAAGAAAATTTACCTACAATGTCTAGAGAGACACAAAAACTGTTCACAATTATATGTTGAGTGCTGCTGAAGGTTAGAAAATATTTTTGTGCTAATAAAATTGCATCAGATAAAAAACTTTTTATTTATTTTAAATGTCACAGTGTTGTACTGTTCTTATGATATTTATTGTGGATAAAAGCATTTGTAAGAATGATTGTTACATGTGTGTAGTCTTTTCAGCCAGGGAGTCTTGACATATCTCCCAGGCCACCATTTTAATATACTGACATATAATTTTTTCCATCTCTTCAGAATACATTATTAGAGTGTTGTGATATTTTTCAAACATGTTTTTTGTAGGAAGGTTTTATGTGACTATTTTCTACAAAGTTAAGGTTAGGTTATGATAGATGTAATCAGCAGTTCATTTTTACATGATCTTCTGTCAGGATCCAAGACAAGCTCTATCGTTGTATGGTTCATCAAACTTAAGTATCAAAATCTGTAAAAAAGATTTTTCTCTTGATAAGACTTATCTGTTCTTTTCATTCTCTGATGGCCTGGGTTTGTTGATGTTTGAGAATTGTAGCAGGCGTAATGCCACTACAATTTTGAAGACATTTTGATTCGTTTATAGGGTAGAACTTTTTGGCCATTTTTCAGAGGAGTAAGATTTGTAATTGTCATGGTTATTACATGTATGTGGGTCCGGGACACAATTTTCACATTGTCTTATTGGAAACTGAATGTATCCTTTATACATTATAGAAAATATAGCTTGACATTTATTTGTTGCAGTTACATCAATTAAAGTTATGAAACCCTACATTTGTGTTGGAATTAATTTGTGATGACATATCAGGTAGTACAAAGTGTTCATATAAACTTTCGCAATTTCATTTTAGTCTTTGTCACTGTCAAGTCAGAATTCTTCTTCATAACATTTTTTACTGACTCTGGCAATGTGTTATTTATAACAGCATGATGCCTATAAATGAGATATTACTACTGGTTAGTTATGTATATGTCATTGATGGTCGTAGCAATGCTGTTGTAATTATGTATGTGTCAAAACCATTGATGGTTGAAGCATTGCACTGTTGTAATTATAGAGAAATTTGAAGATTTCTCTTGAGAAATGCCAATAATAATCTTTGTTAAATCCAAGATGGTCACCTGATGGCCATCTTGTTTTTCTGATCAGTCATAAAATCAAGCGTGCATAGGTAAGGTATATGGGTTATGCACATAGGAATTTTTTTAAATGATCCATCCAGAAATTCTCAAGAAAAAAGCAGTAGCAAGTCACGATCATAGTAAAATCCAAGATGGCTGTCTGTCAGCCATTGTTTTTCTGATCAGTCTCAAAAACCGAATGACACCAATAGGGATGGAGGGAACATGCATATGAAATATGGGAAAGATTCTTCTTGAACTTTTCAAGAAATTGTCATATCCATTGTTTCAAGCCTAACGATAGATGGATCGCGGACACAGTAATTTCAACAGCCCAACATTGTCAGCTACAATGCATGTTGATTCTGCTACAACCTTTTTAGTAGCTTAACGATGATGCTAGTTCCAGGCCTTTTTAAGCTTTGTCAGTAAAATCTCTAAAAGTGATGTCATCCATGCATAAACTCAAAACAAACACTATATTTATCTATTTATACTTCTCTTTATAAATACTTTCCTATTTCACAAAATTTACATATATCAGTTAAAATATATATCTATATAATACAAGAAGATGTTCATTGTAGATAGTACAACTAGACATAACTATACAGGTAAAAAAATCACATCTGTATTCTGGTAGGACACTCAGGTTTTACTAACAATGCACAATCTGGGTATAAACATCACTGAGAAAACGATTGTATAGGGTCACAGAGAAACAGGGCTGTATAGGGTCACAGAGAAACAGGGCTGTATAGGATCACATAGGGACGATTATTAAGGGTCACAGAGAAACGGGGTTGTATAGGGTCACAGAGAAATATGATTATATAGGGTCACAGAGAAACAGGGCTGTATAGGGTCACAGAGAAACAGGGTTGTATAGGGTCACAGAGAAACATGATTATATACGGTCACAGAGAAACAGGGTTGTATAGGGTCACCGAGAAACAGGGTTGTATAGGGTGGAGAAAAACAGATGTAAAGGGTCACAGAGAAACAGGGTTGTATAGGGTCACAGAGAAACAGGGTTGTATAGGGTGGAGAAAAACAGATGTAAAGGGTCACAGAGATACAGGGTTGTATAGGGTCACAGAGAAACAGGGTTGTATAGGGGCTGGGAGAAACCGCTACATGGTATGTAATAAGGTTTAGAGAGGATAGAAATATGCTGTGTTCATTAGTCTAAATGACACTCCTGGCTTGATTTATATTTCAGATTTTATTGCTACATTTAATATATCAGAATATTTTATCACATCCTCTGTTTTCACAAACCTTCATTCCATCATCATTTTAAATGCCTCATGATTGCAATCATAGTATGATAATTAATAACCATTAGAGGAATGCAATGTTTTTGAAGAAAAACAACAGAGGTTAAGATTGATTGACATATAAATCAAATACAGAGTTTACAAAAGTCAAATGATCCAGGCATTAACCAGAACAGAACACCACAATACTAAGCTGACACCAGAACCAGGAAAAAATCCAGATTTATTGCCTTAAAATTTTGCTCACAAAGAAATTCCACTTAATGCTTCCGTTCATGTATAGTAAATCAGTGACAATACGAGTGACCTAACAAACATTGTCTGTGATGAGATCATTAGATAAAGGAATAAAAATAACTTACAATGAACACCATGATTGATGATTGTTAACAGAAATGTTACAGCAGTTGTCTCCCCTCATCTAGGAACAAGTAATTTCCTGAACAAAAACTATTGGTACTTTATATATCACCAATGGCAATTAATTTCATTTCTTTACCTTGATGAGAGTTGAGGTGGATTTCAATAAATGCTAGTGACAGCAATGACAAAATAAAAAAGCTGTCTTCAGTATATGATTATATTCTGACTACAGAGGCCTGCTGATATACATGTAGTGCTAAACCATGTGTATGTAACCTGCAGCAGTGTCTACGGATATACTGCTAAATTACAGTGGTCTGTATTGATACACAGCTGAACTGTAGCATTCTGTACAAATGTACAGCTATCCCTAGCACTCTCTACTAATACACTACAGTGGTCTGTAATGATACACAGCTAAACTGTAGCATTCTGTACTAATGTACAGCTACCTCTAGCACTCTGTACCGACACACTACAGTGGTCTGTATTGATACGCAGCTAAACTGTAGCATTCTGTACTAATGTACAGCTACCTCTAGCACTCTGTACCGACACACTACAGTGGTCTGTATTGATACGCAGCTAAACTGTAGCATTCTGTACTAATGTACAGCTACCTCTAGCACTCTGCACAGATATAATGCTTAATTACAGCAATCTTTACTGATGAAAAATGTACTTCTAACTCTAGCAGTAAGTCTGTGCTGATACGCAGCTAAATTGTAGCACTCTGAACTGACAAACCGCTAGCTCCTGCAGTTTACTACTGAAAAAATGTAAAACTGTTACTGTATATATTGCTAACTCTAGTGGTTCCCATTGATATACTGCAAAACTACAGCAGTTTGTACTGATAAACTGTAGCATTCTTTATTGATACATCTCTAAACTGCAGCAATTGTACTGATAAACTGCTAAACTGCAGCGGTTTGTCCTGATACACTGCTAAACTACAGCAGGATGTACTGATAAACTGCTAAACTACAGCATTCTTTATTGATACACTGCTAAACTACAGCAGTATGCACAGACTCTGTAACAGATTACCCACAAGTGAATCCTGTTGTCATTTTTGACAAAAGGTGGACCATATTAATATGTTATTGAGTTTGTCAATGTAAGTAGTTTTCACATGCTATAAAATTGTACAGAATACTTATTTAAACAGTCCCAAATAATTGTCTTTAATACTGATTGTTAAAAAATATAATTTTGTGGAAATAAAATTTTTTACTTTTTTTTGTTTTGCACCACTGTAAACATAGGTAAACACATGCACACATCCAAAAAACATCTGCAAGTATGCACACACATAGACATACATTATCTTTGAGAATTTCTTGGTAGGAACATATCGATCAGGATCAGAATATACCAATTATCTGAAGAATACATGTATGTTTAGAATACAGTGTGAAGAAGACCTCAAGCTGCCTCAGGAACAATCAGACCATCACATCAGTCCTGATATCCACCTCTCCTGTGTAACACATCAGTCCTGATATCCACCTCTCCTGTGTAACACATCAGTCCTGATGTCCACCTCGCCTGTGTAACACATCAGTCCTGATGTCCACCTCGCCTGTATAACACATCTGTCCTGATGTCCACCTCGCCTGTATAATGTATCAGTCCTGATGTCCACCTCGCCTGTGTAACACATCAGTCCTGATGTCCACCTCGCCTGTATAACACATCTGTCCTGATGTCCACCTCGCCTGTATAATGTATCAGTCCTGATGCTCCCTCGCCTGTGTAACAAATCAGTCCTGATGTTCACCTCTCCTGTGTAACATATCAGTCCTGATGTCCACCTCTCCTGTGTAACATATCAGTCCTGATGTCCACCTCGCCTGTGTAACACATCTGTCTTGATGTCCACATCTCCTGTGTAATACATGAATCCTGATGTCCACTTCTTCGGTGTAACACATCAGTCATGATGTCCACCTCGCCTGTGTAACACATCAGTCCTGATGTCCACCTCGCCTGTATAACACATCAGTCCTCGATCCCACATCCCCTGTTTTAACACATCTGCCCTGGAGTCCTCTTCCCTTGTAACACACCAGTCCTTGAGCACACCTCCCCTTCCTAACGTACTGCAATTACAATTTTTGAGATCTGTTGACAATGCTCAACGACTACACTTTGTGACCAATCCGTAGACTGTCTGCAGTGATGATCCTTGAAACCATTAAGTAAACACAGGTAATTTCACTTGTGACTATCCAGGAGGAAGGAAGGGTATCCCACATCAAACTATCTGTGGTAAGTGAGACTATTGGACCTTGAGGCTACCCTGTAGGCTATCCCCAGCAGCTATGTAGAGATGATCCTGTAGACTGTCTTCATTGCCTATCTGTTCGAAACTTATCCTAGAAAGGCGTGCAGGTTGTCATCACTATATCCTATATCTTTAGCTAATCTGAAAAAATTAATTTAAATTTGGTTGAAGCAGTATCAGTGTCAGTCATATCAATGTCAGTTATATTACAATACAGTTTCAATATTAAATATTCTCTGCTTAGTATTACTAACAGTAATCTATGTGTCACTGCCAGTAAGAAAGTCTGTTACAGTATGAACAGTGTTAATATGAATTATTCTGACAAAATTGCCAGTAGGAGTGTCTTTTACAGTATAAACAGTGTTAATATGAATTATTCTGACAAAATTGCCAGTAGGAGTGTCTTTTACAGTATAAACAGTGTTAATATGAATTATTCTGACAAAATTGCCAGTAGGAGTGTCTTTTACAGTATAAACAGTGTTAATATGAATTATCTGACTAAATGGATTAAAATGGATCAAAAGATGTTTGCTTTGGGACATACCTCATTGTACCAATAAACTCACTGAAAATACAGCTCTAACTGAATTCTGATCAATATTATGTGTGTTAGCAATGCTTCCTCGAGTCATGTCACTATAGTCTCACTGGATTTATCCTCATACATATGAGCAGAAGTTCAGGAAAAAAGTAAACAGTTATTTTTCTTTCCCCCTCTGTACATGTTTTGTGATGAAGTCATTACATAAAGACATGACTACTCAGATCATTCCAAATATTTCTTGTAAGAGCATTAGTTACCCATAGACATTTAATTTTGTAACAGCAAACCAAAGCTGTGAGTGTGTGTGTTTATTTTCATCTTGTTTACTTTTTGCAATACATATATCAGAACTTTGGGAAATACTAGGGTAACATTAGACCATACTATTGAGTTCAAGACTTAATTTCCATTAAAATGTGGGAAAGCTCTTGTTATGTACTTTTAACATGACTGGGTTAGAAAATGGCTGTTATATACTTACTGTATTACTGTTTTTGTAAATGGAGTAGGGCCACAGGCACATATAAGGGTATCAGATTTCCCTTCTGGAGCTGGACTAAATATTTTCATGAGATCTGGTCTGATTCGTCCCTGAGGTCCTGTCCAATTTTCATCTGGCTCTGATAGTACATACTGTACTGTAAACCTACAGAAAAAAGCATGATTGAGTTACCTCCCTTTGATGATTAAATGAAACAAAACCTTACCCTCCTACACATCACTATCCCCTACATCACATAAGTGTTGCCTTCTACAAACTAGTGTTCTCCTTAAACAACAATGCTCCCTACTACACATCACTATCCCCTACATCACATAAGTGTTGCCTTCTACAAACCAGTGTTCTCCTTACACAACAATGCTCCCTGCTACACATCACAGTCCTCTCCTAAATGTCAGTGTTGTCTTCTACACATAAGTGTCACCTCCTGCACATCAGTATCCCCTACATCACATAAGTGTCACCTTCTACAAACCAGTGTTCTCCTTACGCAAAGTGCTCCCTACTACACATCACAGTCCTCTCCTACACATAAGTGTCACCTCCTACACATAAGAGTCACCTCCTATACATTAGTGTCACCTCCTATACATTAGTGTCACTTCCTACACATCAGTGTCACCTACACATAAGTGTCACCTAATACACATCAGTGTCACCTCCTACACATAAGTGTCACCTCCTACACATCAGTGTCACCTCCTACACATAAGTGTCACCTCCTACACATAAGAGTCACCTCCTATACATTAGTGTCACCTCCTATACATTAGTGTCACTTCCTACACATCAGTGTCACCTACACATAAATGTCACCTCCTACACATCAGTGTCACCTCCTACACATAAGTGTCACCTCCTACACATCAGTGTCACCTCCTACACATAAGTGTCACCTCCTACACATAAGTGTCACTTCCTACACAAGAGTGTCACCTCCTACACATGAGTGTCACTTCCTAAACATGAGTGTCACCTCCTACACATAAGTGTCATATCCTACACATGAGTGTCACCTCCTACACAAGAATGTCACCTCCTACACATTAGTAGTGTCACCTCCTACACAAGAGTGTCACCTTCTACACATGAGTGTCACCTCGTACACATGAGTGTCACCTCCTACACAAGTGTGTCACCTCCTACACATAAGTGTCACCTCCTACATATCAGTGTCAACTCCTACATATGAGTGTCACCTCCTACACATCAGTGTCACCTCCTACACATAAGTGTCACTTCCTACACATAAGTGTTACTTTCTACACATCAGTGTCACCTCCTACGTCACCTCCTACACATTAGTGTCACCTCCTACACATGAGTGTCGCCTCCTACACATGAGTGTCACCTCCTACACAAGTGTGTCACCTCCTACACATAAGTGTCACCTCCTACATATCAGTGTCAACTCCTACATATGAGTGTCACCTCCTACACATCAGTGTCACCTCCTACACCTAAGTGTCACTTCCTACACATAAGTGTTACTTTCTACACATCAGTGTCACATCCTACATCACCTCCTACACATGAGTGTCACCTCCTACACATGAGTGTCACCTCCTACACATAAGTGTCACCTACTCCACAAGAGTGTCACCTCCTACACATAAGTGTCACCTCCTACACAAGAGTGCCACCTCCTACACATCACTGTCCTGTCCCACACCAGAGATTTACCCTTTGAGATTAGACTGTCCCCTTCAACACATCAGACTTTCCCTTCTTGATGAGAGTTTGTCCTGTCCCACAAGCCACAGTTTCCTTCCATGATTATAGTCTCTTGCCTCCCATACATGTAACCATCCCTCTTTGTTGAAAATCTGTCCCCTCTCACATATCAGACTTTCCCTCTCTGCTCAGATTCTGTCCCATCCCATACCAGAGACTTTCCCTCCTTGACAGTATGTCCTCTACTAAACATGAGACTTTCCTTCCTTGACAGTCTGTCCTCTACTATACATGGGACTTTTGCTCCTTGAGAATTTGTCACCTCCCACACATCAGAGAGTCTGTCCCCTCCTATACATCAGACATTCCCTCCTTGAGAGTCTGTCTCCTCCCATACATCAGACTTTCCCTCCTTGAGAGTTTGTCTCCTCCCACACATCAGAGAGTCTGTCCCCTCTTATACATCAGACATTCCCTCCTTGAGAGTCTGTCTCCTCCTATACATCAGACATTCCCTCCTTGAGAGTCTGTCCCCTCCTAAACATGGGACTTTTGCTCCTTGAGAGTTTGTCGCCTCCCACACATCAAATAGTCTGTCTCCTCCCATACACCAGACTTTCCCTCCTTAAGAGTTTGTCTCCTCCCACACATCAGAGAGTCTATCCCCTCCTATACATCAGACATTCCCTCCTTGAGAGTCTGTCTCCTCCCATACATCAGACTTTCCCTCCTTGAGAGTCTGTCTCCTCCCACACATCAGAGAGTCTGTCCCCTCCTATACATCAGATAATCCCTCCTTGAGAGTCTGTCCCCTCCTAAACATGGGACTTTTGCTCCTTGAGAGTTTGTCGCCTCCCACACATCAAATAGTCTGTCTCCTCCCATACACCAGACTTTCCCTCCTTAAGAGTTTGTCTCCTCCCACACATCAGAGAGTCTGTCCCCTCCTATACATCAGACATTCCCTCCTTGAGAGTCTGTCTCCTCCCATACATCAGACTTTCCCTCCTTGAGAGTTTGTCTCCTCCCACACATCAGAGAGTCTGTCCCCTCTTATACATCAGACATTCCCTCCTTGAGAGTCTGTCCCCTCCTAAACATGGGACTTTTGCTCCTTGAGAGTTTGTCGCCTCCCACACATCAAATAGTCTGTCTCCTCCCATACACCAGACTTTCCCTCCTTAAGAGTTTGTCTCCTCCCACACATCAGAGAGTCTGTCCCCTCCTATACATCAGACATTCCCTCCTTGAGAGTCTGTCTCCTCCCATACATCAGACTTTCCCTCCTTGAGAGTTTGTCTCCTCCCACACATCAGAGAGTCTGTCCCCTCTTATACATCAGACATTCCCTCCTTGAGAGTCTGTCTCCTCCCATACATCAGACTTTCCCTCCTTGAGAGTTTGTCTCCTCCCACACATCAGATTCTGTCCCCTCCTATACATCAGATAATCCCTCCTTGAGAGTCTGTCCCCTCCTAAACATGGGACTTTTGCTCCTTGAGAGTTTGTCGCCTCCCACACATCAAATAGTCTGTCTCCTCCCATACACCAGACTTTCCCTCCTTAAGAGTTTGTCTCCTCCCACACATCAGAGAGTCTGTCCCCTCCTATACATCAGACATTCCCTCCTTGAGAGTCTGTCTCCTCCCATACATCAGACTTTCCCTCCTTGAGAGTTTGTCTCCTCCCACACATCAGAGAGTCTGTCCCCTCTTATACATCAGACATTCCCTCCTTGAGAGTCTGTCTCCTCCCATACATCAGACTTTCCCTCCTTGAGAGTTTGTCTCCTCCCACACATCAGAGAGTCTGTCCCCTCCTATACATCAGATAATCCCTCCTTGAGAGTCTGTCCCCTCCTAAACATGGGACTTTTGCTCCTTGAGAGTTTGTCGCCTCCCACACATCAAATAGTCTGTCTCCTCCCATACACCAGACTTTCCCTCCCTAAGAGTTTGTCTCCTCCCACACATCAGAGAGTCTGTCCCCTCCTATACATCAGACATTCCCTCCTTGAGAGTCTGTCTCCTCCCATACATCAGACTTTCCCTCCTTGAGAGTCTGTCTCCTCCCACACATCAAATAGTCTGTCTCCTCCCATACACCAGACTTTCGCTCCTTGAGAGTCTGTCTCCTCCCACACATCAAATAGTCTGTCTCCTCCCATACACCAGACTTTCGCTCCTTGAGAGTTTGTCGCCTCCCACACATCAAATAGTCTGTCTCCTCCCATACACCAGACTTTCGCTCCTTGAGAGTTTGTCTCCTCCCACACATCAGAGAGTCTGTTCCCTCCCATACATCAAACATTCCCTCCTTGAGAATCTATCTCCTCCCAAACATCACTTTCCTTCTTGATGAGAGTGTGTCCCCTTTCACACATCAGACTTTCCCTACCTGACAAGATATGTGCCCTCCCACACACTCTCCCTCCCTAACTATGTACTTACTAGCTAGTCACTACTTACCATTCATGCTGGTCTGATAAGCTGTCTAGATGTTCCCTCCATAATATATCAGCTTCAGTTTTATTGAAAAACATTAATTTTACTTTCCTGGGGAAAAAGATAAAACATTTCTCAGTAAGATGATGACATATTTACAAAAAGAATCTTTTTACTCTCCTCTCATTTAATGAAGAGTGGGACATGAAAAATTGCTCATGTCCAGCCCAGTCTCATTTCATCCCACATCAATAACATTTCGCTAATGATTTCACTTGTTTAAGACTTTTTATCACAGTTCACATGAGGCCCATGAGGGGTAAAGTAACCTTACCTAATATTATTCTGTGATAAACAGTGGTTGATGAGGCCCACGAGGGGGTAAAGTAGCCTTACCTACAATTATTCTGTGATAAACAGTGGTTGATGAGGCCCACGAGGGGGTAAAGTAACCTTACCTACTATTATTCTGTGATAAACAATGGTTGATGAGATCCTAAAAATAGTACCTACTATTACTATGTTTGAAACAATGGTTGATGAGGCCCACAAGGGTTACAGTAACCTTACCTACAATTATTCTGTGATAAACAGTGGTTGACGAGGCCCACGAGGGGGTAAAGTAACCTTACCTACTATTATTCTGTGATAAACAGTGGTTGATGAGGCTAACCATAGGAGTAAAGCCTGTTCCTGCAGCATACATGACGAGATCACCCTGTCCTGCTAGTCGACTTTCACGAAAGTCACCATCATACTGACTGACTTCTATAGTGTCACCTAAAACAAAGCACATCAATGTTGGGTAGTCTAACAAGGCTTCTACAGTCTCACTGAAATCATGATTAAATCTTTCTTACAATGGCAAAATTGCAGGTTCTGATGCAAATCTTACCTGGTTTTAACGAGTCTATCCATGGAGTGAAGACGCCATCTTTATAAATCTTTATCATTAGGTAGAATACTTTGCCCTGTGACAGTCGATGATCAGTGATCTTTGAATCAAGTGCTGGTTGGACAAGTGTGTAACTGCGGACCACCATCACATCTAATAGTACAATCAATTATACAATAATCCACTTATCAAAACAGTTATACATGTATTTAAACATTAACTCAGTCAATAAAACAATAACTCATTCAATAAAACAATAACTCATTCAATAAAACAATAACTCATTCAATAAAACAATAACTCATTGAAAGAAACAATAACTCATTCAATAAAACAATAACTCATTCAATAAAACAATAACTCATTCAAAGAAACAATAACTCATTGAAAGAAACATTAACTCAGTCAATAAAACAATAACTCCGTCAATAAAACAATAACTCATTCAATGAAACAATAACTCATTCAAAGAAACAATAACTCATTCAAAGAAACAATAACTCATTCAAAGAAACAATAACTCATTCAATAAAACAATAACTCATTCAATAAAACAATAACTCATTGAAAGAAACAATAACTCATTGAAAGAAACATTAACTCAGTCAATAAAACAATAACTCATTCAATGAAACAATAACTGAGTCAATAAAACAATAACTGAGTCAATTAAACAATAACTCGGTCAATAAAACAATAACTCCGTCAATTAAACAATAACTCTGTCAATAAAACAATAACTCTGTCAATTAAACAATAACTTGGTCAATAAAACAATAACTGAGTCAATAAAACAATAACTGAGTCAATAAAACAATACCTCAGTAAATGAAACAATAACTCTGTCAATAAAACAATAACTCATTCAATGAAACAATAACTGAGTCAATAAAACAATAACTCATTCATTGAAACAATAACTTGGTCAATAAAACAATAACTCATTCAATGAAACAATAACTAAGTCAATTAAACAATAACTCGGTCAATGAAACAATAACTCTGTCAATGAAACAACAACTTGGTCAATAAAAAAGATTACACAGGTACCATTTACACATATAAAATGTACACAATACTCACCCTCCACTTGATGACGTATATGTACATGATAACCTACAGGTACACACATACTGGTACCCTGAGGCAGACTAACACAAAGAAGTTTGGTGTCATGGTTTACAGGAACAACAGATTCCACACAGCAGCATCTATACTTCAAACCTAAGAATTAAATAAATCATCTTTGAAAAGTTGAAATTCATTACCAGGTTTCTTGAAATTCAAGGGACCATGAAAAATATTTTCACTCATCCAAATTTCGACTCAAACAGAGTGTCCAAATAAAGTTTGAGATATCAGTTTTCTGATGTTGATTACAGTGCATCCTACAATTGCATGGTACTCTATGGTACAAACTGTAATTGAACTTTTTATATGAAATGGCAGTAAATTAACAGAAACAAATAGATTTCCACTTTCTCCTTTTATTGTTTATTCAATAAGATAAGAAAACATGTAATAACAATACCAATCTACTATATTTGTACTCACTTCACTCAATCCAGTACACACACCTAAATTATATGTTTTATGGAATATAAATAAAACAAAACTGAAATTTGTATATGAAAAAATATATATTTACACACCTACAACTGAAAGATTGAAGGAGTGTGTACCTTGGTCATTTATAGGTGTGTATACCTGTCATTTGTAGGTGTGTATACCTTTGTCATTTATAGGTGTGTATACCTTTGTCATTTATAGGTGTGTGTGTATACCTTTGTCATTTGTAGGTGTGTATACCTTTGTCATTTATAGGTGTGTATACCTTTGTCATTTATAGGTGTGTATACCTTTGTCATTTATAGGTGTGTGTATACCTTTGTCATTTGTAGGTGTGTATACCTTTGTCATTTATAGGTGTGTATACCTTTGTCATTTATAGGTGTGTATACCTTTGTCATTTATAGGTGTGTATACCTTTGTCATTTATAGGTGTGTATACCTTTGTCATTTGTAGGTGTGTACTTTTGTCATTTGTAGGTGTGTATACCTTTGTCATTTATAGGTGTGTATACCTTTGTCATTTATAGGTGTGTATACCTTTGTCATTTATAGGTGTGTATACCTTTGTCATTTATAGGTGTGTATACCTTTGTCATTTGTAGGTGTGTATACCTTTGTCATTTATAGGTGTGTGTATACCTTTGTCATTTGTAGGTGTGTATACCTTTGTCATTTGTAGGTGTGTATACCTTTGTCATTTATAGGTGTGTATACCTTTGTCATTTATAGGTGTGTATACCTTTGTCATTTGTAGGTGTGTATACCTTTGTCATTTGTAGGTGTGTATACCTTTGTCATTTGTAGGTGTGTATACCTTTGTCATTTGTAGGTGTGTGTACCTTTGTCATTTGTAGGTGTGTGTACCTTTGTCATTTATAGGTGTGTGTACCATTGTCATTTGTAGGTTTGTATACCTTTGTCATTTGTAGGTGTGTATACCTTTGTCATTTGTAGGTGTGTATACCTTTGTCATTTATAGGTGTGTGTATACCTTTGTCATTTGTAGGTGTGTATACCTTTGTCATTTATAGGTGTGCATACCCTTGTCATTTATAGGTGTGTATACCTTTGTCATTTGTAGGTGTGTATACCTTTGTCATTTGTAGGTGTATATACCTTTGTCATTTGTAGGTGTGTATACCTTTGTCATTTGTAGGTGTGTATACCTTTGTCATTTATAGGTGTGTATACCTGTCATTTGTAGGTGTGTATACCTATGTGATTTGTAGGTGTGTATACCTTTGTCATTTATAGGTGTGTATACCTGTCATTTCGTAGGTGTGTATACCTTTGTCATTTATAGGTGTGTATACCTTTGTCATTTGTAGGTGTGTATACCTGTTATTGGTAGGTGTGTATACCTTTGTCATTTGTAGGTGTGTATACCTGTCATTTGTAGGTGTGTATACCTTTGTCATTTATAGGTGTGTATACTTTGTCATTTAAAGGTGTGTATACCTATGTCATTTATAGGTGTGTATACCTATGTCATTTGTAGGTGTGTATACCTTTGTCATTTATAGGTGTGTATACCTTTGTCATTTATAGGTGTGTATACTTTGTCATTTAAAGGTGTGTATACCTATGTCATTTGTAGGTGTGTATACCTTTGTCATTTATAGGTGTGTATACTTTGTCATTTAAAGGTGTGTATACCTATGTCATTTATAGGTGTGTATACCTATGTCATTTGTAGGTGTGTATACCTTTGTCATTTATAGGTGTATATACCTTTGTCATTTGTAGGTGTATAGGTGTTATGGGCCTCCAAGAACTTGCCAAGCCCTCGCCACTGTTGGCCAGGTGTCTGTTTCTGTAACACCAAATCTGTCTTCCCTGTCTGACTTTGTACCTTCACTGTCAACATACAAATAATGCAATTAAAACTAGTACGAGTCACACATAGTTCATTAGAGTCGTTATCAATATAAAGTTGTTGATAACTGATCAACACCTGAAATTTTCTGCAGTCTTAACCACAAATTACATGAAAGCATCCACCATTTGAAATATGTTATAAGTAGTATTATGATCGTAACTATCAGATGATGATGACATTGCTCATCATCCGTCAACAAATATGCTGTTATGATCTTCATTCAATCTCTATTAAAAAAGCCTTCTGTTTTTTGTTTCACTCTGTAATGCTGACAGACTTATGATAACCAAATCAATCTTGTGTTACCATGACATATTGTGTGGCTATGTTGACAATGTACCAACAATACTGATTAGACAGAGGTTATATAACAAGTGACTCTTTTACATTTTATTTCTTTCACTCGAGTTTTTTATTCTTCAAAAGTTACAGAAAACATGCTTTGATAGAAATCAATATGAAAATTATTACACAAACATCTATTAACTACTTATTGTATGTTTTTATTTCTTGGAAGGCATGAAGCGACCTCCAGTCAAAGTTCACCGTGTCAGCAAATCAAAATGCTTTTATGCTTTATACCATGTGTTGTTATAAATGTCTGTATTATAGACAGACATCTAGACACAGTATTTTCTAAGAATTATACAAAAAGATGAATGAACATCAGCGACAAACAACGTTTTAACTTGGTAGTACATGTCTTCCACGATTTTAAGCTAGATTACTACATCACACAGAAAACAGATATATCTAAGTCCTTCACACAGAATACAGATATATCTATATCTTCAACACAGAAAACATATATATCTAAGTCCTTCACACAGAAAACATATATATCTACACACAGAAAACATATATCTAAGTCCTTCACACAGAAAACATATATATCTAAGTCCTTCACACAGAAAACATATATATCTAAGTCCTTCACACAGAAAACATATATATCTAAGTCCTTCACACAGAAAACAGATATATCTAAGTCCTTCACACAGAAAACCTTCACACAGAAAACATATATATCTAAGTCCTTCACACAGAAAACATATATATCTAAGTCCTTCACACAGAAAACATATATATCTAAGTCCTTCACACAGAAAACATATATATCTAAGTCCTTCACACAGAAAACATATATATCTAAGTCCTTCACACAGAAAACATATATATCTAAGTCCTTCACACAGAAAACAGATATATCTAAGTCCTTCCCGACATATATATCTAAGTCCTTCCCGACAGAAAACATATATATCTAAGTCCTTCACACAGAAAACATATATATCTAAGTCCTTCACACAGAAAACATATATATCTAAGTCCTTCACACAGAAAACATATATATCTAACTCTTACACACAGAAAACATATATATCTAAGTCCTTCACACAGAAAACATATATATCTAAGTCCTTCACACAGAAAACAGATATATCTTAGTCCTTCACACAGAAAACATATATATCTAAGTCCTTCACACAGAAAACATATATATCTAAGTCCTTCACACAGAAAACATATATATCTAAGTCCTTCACACAGAAAACATATATATCTAAGTCCTTCACACAGAAAACATATATATCTAAGTCCTTCACACAGAAAACATATATATCTAAGTCCTTCACACAGAAAACATATATATCTAAGTCCTTCACACAGAAAACATATATATCTAAGTCCTTCACACAGAAAACATATATATCTAAGTCCTTCACACAGAAAACATATATATCTAAGTCCTTCACACAGAAAACATATATATCTAAGTCCTTCACACAGAAAACATATATATCACACACAGAAAACATATATATCTAAGTCCTTCACACAGAAAACATATATATCTAAGTCCTTCACACAGAAAACATATATATCTAAGTCCACACAGAAAACATATATATCTAAGTCCTTCACACAGAAAACATATATATCTAAGTCCTTCACACAGAAAACATATATATCTAAGTCCTTCACACAGAAAACATATATATCTAAGTCCTTATATATCTAAGTCCTTCACACAGAAAACATATATATCTAAATCTTCAACACAGAAAACAGATATATCTAAGTCCTTCACACAGAAAACATATATATCTAAGTCCTTCACACAGAAAACATATATATCTAAGTCCTTCACACAGAAAACATATATATCTAAGTCATACACACAGAAAACATATATATCTAAGTCCTTCACACAGAAAACATATATATCTAAGTCCTTCACACAGAAAACATATATATCTAAGTCCTTCACACAGAAAACATATATATCAAGTCCTTCACACAGAAAACATATATATCTAAGTCCTTCACACAGAAAACATATATATCTAAGTCCTTCACACAGAAAACATATATATCTAAGTCCTTCACACAGAAAACATATATATCTAAGTCCTTCACACAGAAAACATATATATCTAAGTCCTTCACACAGAAAACATATATATCTAAGTCCTTCACACAGAAAACATATATATCTAAGTCCTTCACACAGAAAACATATATATCTAAGTCCTTCACACAGAAAACATATATATCTAAGTCCTTCACACAGAAAACATATATATCTAAGTCCTTCACACAGAAAACATATATATCTAAGTCCTTCACACAGAAAACATATATATCTAAGTCCTTCACACAGAAAACATATATATCTAAGTCCTTCACACAGAAAACATATATATCTAAGTCCTTCACACAGAAAACAGATATATCTAAGTCCTTCACACAGAAAACATATATATCTAAGTCCTTCACACAGAAAACATACATATCTAAGTCCTTCACACAGAAAACATACATATCTAAGTCCTTCACACAGAAAACATATATATCTAAGTCCTTCACACAGAAAACAGATATATCTAAGTCCTTCACACAGAAAACATATATATCTAAGTCCTTCACACAGAAAACATATATATCTAAGTCCTTCACACAGAAAACATATATATCTAAGTCCTTCACACAGAAAACATATATATCTAAGTCCTTCACACAGAAAACATATATATCTAAGTCCTTCACACAGAAAACATATATATCTAAGTCCTTCACACAGAAAACATATATATCTAAGTCCTTCACACAGAAAACATATATATCTAAGTCCTTCACACAGAAAACATATATATCTAAGTCCTTCACACAGAAAACATATATATCTAAGTCCTTCACACAGAAAACATATATATCTAAGTCCTTCACACAGAAAACATATATATCTAAGTCCTTCACACAGAAAACATATATATCTAAGTCCTTCACACAGAAAACATATATATCTAAGTCCTTCACACAGAAAACATATATATCTAAGTCCTTCACACAGAAAACATATATATCTAAGTCCTTCACACAGAAAACATATATATCTAAGTCCTTCACACAGAAAACATATATATCTAAGTCCTTCACACAGAAAACATATATATCTAAGTCCTTCACACAGAAAACATATATATCTAAGTCCTTCACACAGAAAACATACATATCTAAGTCCTTCCTGACAGAAAACATATATATCTAAGTCCTTCACACAGAAAACAGATATATCTAAGTCCTTCACACAGAAAACATATATATCTAAGTCCTTCACACAGAAAACATATATATCTAAGTCCTTCACACAGAAAACATATATATCTAAATCTTCAACACAGAAAACATATATATCTAAGTCCTTCACACAGAAAACATACATATCTAAGTCCTTCACACAGAAAACATATATATCTAAGTCCTTCACACAGAAAACATATATATCTAAGTCTTCACACAGAAAACATATATATCTAAGTCCTTCACACAGAAAACATATATATCTAAGTCCTTCACACAGAAAACATATATATCTAAGTCCTTCACACAGAAAACATATATATCTAAGTCCTTCACACAGAAAACATATATATCTAAGTCCTTCACACAGAAAACATATATATCTAAGTCCTTCACACAGAAAACATATATATCTAAGTCCTTCACACAGAAAACATATATATCTAAGTCCTTCACACAGAAAACAGATATATCTAAGTCCTTCACACAGAAAACAGATATATCTAAGTCCTTCACACAGAAAACAGATATATCTAAATCTTCAACACAGAAAACATATATATCTAAGTCCTTCACACAGAAAACATATATATCTAAGTCCTTCACACAGAAAACATATATATCTAAGTCCTTCACAAACAGATATATCTAAGTCCTTCACACAGAAAACATATATATCTAAGTCCTTCACACAGAAAACATATATATCTAAGTCCTTCACACAGAAAACATATATATCTAAGTCCTTCACACAGAAAACATATATATCTAAGTCCTTCACACAGAAAACATATATATCTAAGTCCTTCACACAGAAAACATATATATCTAAGTCCTTCACACAGAAAACATATATATCTAAGTCCTTCACACAGAAAACAGATATATCTAAGTCCTTCACACAGAAAACATATATATCTAAGTCCTTCACACAGAAAACATATATATCTAAGTCCTTCACACAGAAAACATATATATCTAAGTCCTTCACACAGAAAACATATATATCTAAGTCCTTCACACAGAAAACATATATATCTAAGTCCTTCACACAGAAAACATATATATCTAAGTCCTTCACACAGAAAACATATATATCTAAGTCCTTCACACAGAAAACATATATATCTAAGTCCTTCACACAGAAAACATACATATCTAAGTCCTTCACACAGAAAACATATATATCTAAGTCCTTCACACAGAAAACAGATATATCTAAGTCCTTCACACAGAAAACATATATATCTAAGTCCTTCACACAGAAAACATATATATCTAAGTCCTTCACACAGAAAACATATATATCTAAGTCCTTCACACAGAAAACATATATATCTAAGTCCTTCACACAGAAAACATATATATCTAAGTCCTTCACACAGAAAACATA